TTCCATCCCTGACATCCTCTGTACTTAGGGAAGAAAAATATTATTTAAAAATTCATAAGTATATTCTTACAAGAATTACTGCTCATGTAAAATAGGTGAACTGACAGTGAGCAGTCATTTCCACTGCAAAGTTTAAGTTGCCCTCCATTTACTCTGAAGCTAGATGAAAACAAGGCAACATCCTGTCTATGTAGCACAGGATTGATAGTTCCAGATTCCAGCAGGACTCGTCCAGAAACCTTCCTTGACTTGTTTGCAGTAGATTCTGTTTAGCAGGAAGCGGTCTGAGTGCGCAGGGCTGCTGCCCCGGTGGTTGCGGAATCCTTGCTGCACAGTCGGCGATGCTGTTTTCTTTCTTTCTTTCTTTCTTTCTTTCTTTCTTTCTTTCTTTCTTTCTTTCTTTCTTTCTTTCCTTCCTTCCTTCCTTCCTTCCTTCCTTTTCTTTCTTTTTTTTTTCTCTTTCTTTCTTTCTTTCTTTCTTTCTTTCTTTCTTTCTTTCTTTCTTTCTTTCTTTCTTTCTTTCTCCCCGGCCCTAGAATATATTTATTGAGGACAAGACAGCTCTTGTCCAAAAAAGAGACAGGAGGGGGGCCTGAGCGGGTAGTCCCCCAGCGATGCTGTTTTCTAGGAAGAGTTCCGTTTACCTCATCTGATGAAGTATGCTTTAAATGTGAAAAATGTCATTCACAGCAAGGTGCCTAAGCTGGTTGTTGCTCAAAAGAGCAGAAGTGGGTGAAAGCCGGGCGAGGGCAGGCGAAGCAGGAGGTTTGGCCTCCAAGGCACTGAGGAAAGCTTGCAGGAGAAGCAAGGATGAGCTATCATTTACACGGCCATTGGCTGGTAAGAGCTGGTGACAGTTTCTTGTTCTGGTGCTCAATGGCAGTGACATTCCTGTCACACCTTCTCAATGGTCTTCCCTTCTCAAACTTCAGACACAGAGCCAGAATACACATGCACTGCAGCTCTGAAGAGTTTGCTTTTTATTTATTTTTTTATTTGTTTAAAGGAAGAAAGGCTTGTTTCAGCTCACAGTTTGTAGAGGTTTCAGTCTACAGCTGACTGGCTGCAAGGCAGGGCAGTGTGGCACAGGAGCAGTGAAGAAACAGTGCATGATAGGGCAGGCAGCAGGCAGCAGGCAGCAAGCAGCAGCCAGGAGTTTACTTTTTAGCATAATTCCACTAAAGAAAATTAATCAATCCTGGGCTCAGTATTTTTGAGTATTTCTTGCTAGGAAGATGAGAAATGAAAGGGAGGCAAAAGGGGTGATTGGGAAGAGAAGAAGGAAACCTTAACTCACAGCAGATGAGAGCAAAGTTTTCTGTCCCCTAGAGACTCCAGTGGGCTCTCTTGTTCTCATTCTTCTCCCACCAAGCTACCTGCAGGTCCCCACATGGCCCGTCCTGTCCACCAGTCACTCCTCATGTCACGGGAATGCTGCTGTGGAAGGTGACTCTGCTCTCTCCTAATCTGCCTTTGTGTCAGATTAAAAATAATCAGATCCATTTTCTTCATCCTTTTCTAAATGATGAACACAGAAAACCATCCTAGTCTTATTAGGACCACTAAGCCCCAGCTGAGGACGTAGACGCCCTTTTCTCACAGCTTAGCACTTTCTCACGCTCACGTCTGTGAAAACCGAACACCCATAGCCCCATCCTCCTGCTTCCTGTCCCGGGACCTGCTGTGACCCTGCATCCCCGCTGTGCTGGCTTCTGCTTCAGTTCTTATTTCTGTCCTGTTTCTCTCCTTCCTGCTCCCATGGGGAAAGTATTTTAAAGCAAAGCAAAAATCTTATCATTTTTTTTATCTTAACATTTTAAAAAAATTTTTTCCTGTAATTTTATTGAGAAATAAATAGCAATGAGATAGTTTCAAATCGAATTGGTAGGACAGTTCCAATAATTAACATATTGCATACTGCCTTCCTAGTGGTTATTTGTTGTACAAGAGGCAGACATGATATCCTATTTATAAACACTATTAGAACAAATGCCTCTATTCCTTGAATTAAGAGAATGTAACTGTATATCTATCCTAACCACTTTGAATACACAGATACAAAATGGTCATTCATCTATATCCCCTTTTTTTGTTTAGTTCCATCATTTAAATATTATAGGTGTGTGAACTCAGCAAAATATTCCAAAATAGTCCAGTAGTCCATAATAGTCTTGGGTCTTCCACTTGACTGGCAGTGTCAGAAGTTATTGACCTGAGTCCCCTACAGCTCAACATAATAACATGGCTTTATTTCTTGTACTTTGTTTTTATACTTTTCTGCTGGATGGTTAAGACCAAGATAAAGCAAGACTTATGTAATAAGAATTGTAGCTTTTGGGTCTGATAAGGTCAGTCAAATCCCCTCAGGATTTATCCTGAGATCCTATACCTCAGTTTGTAGATCCTTTGTCAGTGTCAGCCATGTGGATGAGTCACAGCCATTGCTTGGCCGATTTGCTCTCTGTGAAAGCCTGAGAGAATGTTTTCTCTCTATGTGACTCTCCTTAGGCACATTCTACATCATCGATCACTTTCTTCTTTGGCCCCATAATCTCCTCGATCAGAAAATTTGGGACACAACTGAGTTACATGATGTTACAGTACAAGTTCTCATATGTCCTGAGTCTTGATTGAACGTGGAAGGCTAGGGCCAAAATGGTGGCTTTCCTTGTGGCCCTCCTTTTTCTCTAATGTTTGGTCTGCAAACTTAGGTTGTTAATTCTCCAGAAGAGAAGTTTATTGTTATTACCAAATAACCTAGGCTGTTGTGCTTTATCTCACTATTTGTCTAAATATCAAACATTTTAGGCATAACATGGAACAGGTATTTTTCACCAAGTACTGATATGTTAAACTTTAAGTCTCTACAGAATATGACAAAAAAATTTAAAAAATTGAAATATATTTAAAAAATAGGAATAAAGAATTATATGTTTACACAGAAGTCCAGAAATCTAACCATATACAACATTGTTGCAGGACAGTCCCGCAACACTCCTTTTCCTGCCTCCTGCCTTTATTTACCACCCCCTTCTAACAATCATATCATATGGTGGATTAACCAGCACACTTCAGGTTATATTTCAGAAACAATGACCATAACCACTAAGAAGAATATATGCAGTGTGTTATTTGTTGAAACTGTACTTCCGATTTGATTTGAAACTGTCTCATTGCTGTCTGTTTATCAATAAAATTTTGGGGAAAAAAAAAAAAACCGACCAGCAGTGTTAGTGGTATCCATGAACAAAGTTGTACTTCTCATCACAAATCACATCCTTAGTGGCCACGTGGAGCCCAGTGGCCCTGGGCTGGAAGTAGCCACTGTTTCTGATATTGCTGGGGCTGTGCTTCCTGGGGCAGGGCAGCAGTGAACGTGCTGAGCTGGGTGTGACCCTGCTGCGGCCCAGGGAGACTGGGGCAGTGCTGGTCACCTCCACACTCATTTGTATTTGTATTTTTTATTTATTTATTTATTTATTTATTTATTTATTTATTTTTGTATTTTAGGCAAGGGTCTACAGGGTGTTCAGGGTCTCACTACTAGATCAGACTTGTAGTGACCCACCTGTTTACAGCCTCCCAAGATCTGGGATTACAGGAGCGTGTCACCACGCTGTCTCAATTGCCATCTCAGCAGCCCCGGGTGCGGGGTCAGCACGGCCCACCCAGGGATTGAACCCCCGGCCCCTGAGCCTGCTTGCAGGCACTTTAATCTGCTGAGCTATTTGGTTGGCCTCACTTGTATCATTTTATCTGAAATAGCTACCAGTGCTCAGCACAGCAGAGACAGTGAATGTTTATTAAATGGAAATGATTTCCAGGAACTCTGGTGTCTTTGGGATTTGCTGGGCTTAGACTGAAAGAAACGATAGAACCCAGAAGAAAAGTTCAAAGGGTCCCAGACTCGGCCACTGTCCTGAGGTACTGAAGGCAAGAGGAGTCCACAGCCCTTGGTCTCGGAGGGAGACTGAGGAAGCCAGGGTGGTCCTTGCTGCCCCAGGGGCCTCTGGGCAGCACATCCTGATGACTCTAGAGAACAGCTCCGCAGTCATTCCCCTTCCGCTGCCAAGAACCTGGCATGCAGTAGAGACTGGTGGAATGACTGACCTGTGCACAGCCTGTTGTTAAGATCGATTTGGGAGTCTTCTTTATGTGTGATAGATGAGGTCTATGGAATTTTGGACAAAACAGTCATTTCTTTGGGTAGTGTAGTAGAGCTTGACTCAAATTGTATTTCAATTGCTGTCTATAAATTCAGCCAGAGAGAGAGAGAGAGAGAGAGAGAAAGAAAAGTAAAGACAGAGGGACAGAAATGACAGACAGACAGACGGACAGATGGACAGATGGACAGATGGATGGACAGGAGAACAGAGAGACTGACAGACAGATGGACGGACAGATGGACAGACTGACACAGAGAGAGTTTGGACTGTTCGACCTGCCGTACCCTTCACTGAGTTTATCCTCTAGGAAAACCCTAGGCGGCAGTGGCCTCAGTGGAGGGTGACTGTCCAAGCCACTCTTCTCACTTTGTGCGCCTCTAGTATTTGAGCATGGCTAGTGTCCCCCACGTGGCCCCGATGTGTGTGCCCTGAGTCTCCTGGCACACAACAGCGATCTGGCGCCACACTGGCAGAAAGCAGGTCGTATCCACTCACTATGAGGCGTGCACCCCCTTAGTTTGGTGTATTTTGATGATGTGGCTTTGCTAAAACCAATTTTAGGCTATAGCACTTTTGTGGAAGGGGACACCACAGCATTCTTGTCCATTAGGCAACAGAACGCCATCGTGGAAGAGATCTGGGCTGCGGCATCTTTGTGTTACTTCCTTCAAGACCAAGAAGGTCTTTCTGCCTTCCCTGGTCATGGGTCCAGGGTGAGGGTGCAGCCCAGCTCCTGTCTTCTTTCTCTGACACGTGCCCACGGTAGCCGTGGCGATGCTCCTGGGTGGAGGCGCGGTGCCAGCAGGCTAAGCCTTGTTCTCTTCTGTTCCCCAGAGTGCCTACCGCATGTTTACAAACAACACGTGTTTGAAGCACATGATCACCAAAGTCCGCCGGGACACGCACCACTTCGAGCGCTACCAGCATAACCGGGACCTCGTGGGCTTCCTCAACATGTTTGCCAACAAGCAGCTTGAGCTGCCGAGGGGCTGGGAGATGAAACAGGACCATCAGGGCAAGGTAAGGGGGCCTTGGCGACCTTCCCTTCTTGGCCTGTGGGGTGCTTGCGAGGCCGGGCTGGAAGGGCTTGGAGGAGTGGGCTTTGGGGAAGCACTTGGTTCCTAGGTTCCCCTGGTGTTCTTAGCCCTCCATCTCCCACCGGGTCCCTCCTGCTGGCTAGAGGAAAGGCTTCTTCCTTAGGCAACCTTCTCCCTGACTTAACAGCTTGCCCTGTGGGTATTTGGTGGAAAGTTGTAAGGAAGCCCCAGAGCGAGCCCCTCCTCCAAATTTGGCCTCAGGGTCTTGTTCCCTCAGAACTCTGATTTTGTTAGTCCTTAAACAACTCATGAATCTGAGGTGAAGAAAACAATTGTCGAGCAGGCCAGAAAGGTAGGATCTGTACTTGTTTTGCAGATAGATGAACCAGGAAGCCTGGTCATGATGAGGAAGTTGCCGTATGAGTAAGGAGCAGAGTGTACATGCTTGCACTTGTCAGGACATGATTGTCCCTAAGATTTTGTATTCATTTAACATTTGTGTAGCATCGACTTCCAGCCATGAACAGTTCCGGCTTTTTGTGCATAGAGAGTCCTTGCCACAACTTGGTGAAGCCATGCACTGGTGTTGCCACTTGCACATAGGAACCCCCAGGGCCCTGTCACTAGACAGAAAATGGCAGAACTTGAGAGAAGTGGTGGAACTGTGACAGGAAGTGGTGGAACTGTGACAAGAAGTGGTGGAGCTGTGACAGGAAGTGGTGGAGCTGTGACAGGAAGTGGTGGAGCTGTGACAGGAAGTGATGGAGTTGTGACAGGAAATGGTGGAGCTGGGCTCTGACCCAGACAGTCTGTTTCTGGAACCATAGGTGCAGAGAGCCAGGGCACAGCAGGAAGCAGTGGGGCCTGTGGCTGGGTGTGGACTCCTGCCACATTTGAAGGTATGGGGCTTTCAGAATGTCTTCTCAGGGCAACCCATTAGGGTCAGGAGGTCACTCGGGTAGAATGACCAGTCCTTTCCTTAAATTCCTGAGTGACTTTGCTTCCATGGTCCTCACCTTCATCTCCCCCCATGTAGGCCCAACAGTCTCCTTTTGCCTAGCAGATGGCCCCTTCCAGGAGCCTTTCCCCTTCCATCTAGAGCTTCCACACAGAAGCTTCTTGAAACAAGTTGATGACGACACTTGTCTCCCGTCGTTTCCTGGCTGCGTGGCAGACTTTGCTGTAGACCAAGCAGGAAGCCCGCAGGCTCCCTCCCCTCTCCTCCTCCTCCTCTGCTCCCCTGAGAGGCAGCCCCAGATGCATTGGACCTGACCTCTCCTGATGCATGTGTCAGCTTGGCTATTTTGGTGTGACGTCAGAGACTGTGTTTGTACTGAACTTTAGCTGTCTTCAGCCCTCAAATAGGCTTTTGTTGTCATTGCATGAGGCCACAGATTTCAGCTGTTTGGGGATTAAGTGTCTGGACTTCTGTGCTTGGGAGCCAGAGGGTGGGAAATCTGGGTCACAAAAAAAGAGGGAGTAAAGGAAGGGCAGAGAAGAAAGGGGGTGTAAAACACTTGTTGAAAATATTAACCCTAAATTGGAAAGTGAGAGCCAATGCCACAGTCTCGCTGGGAGAAATGATGACAGTGATGCTGCCCGCCCATGCTTAGCACCGTCACGCTGCAAGCCGGTGCTGTGCTGGGCGCTGCCCGCAGACTGTGCTGGTCGTACTTTGTGGCAGCACTTGAGGTGGAGTATTAGGGTCTATATTTTACGGAAATTTAGAGACAATAAAGAATCTATATAAACAAAGAAGTAAGGAACCCAGGATTCAAATTCTTAGAAGTATGACTCAACCACTGTACTCTCTTAGAAGGAATTAGTTTTGGAAACAAGACATTTTAGTATCTCAAGGAAGAGGAGTCTCCGGCCATGTGCTAGGGTTACAGTTGTCCTCTGAAGCTGAGTAGTACACAGGTCGCGATCAGATCATGGATGGTCTCCCAGGGGACACATGCTCAGGACCACGTCGGTGTCTCTGTGTACAAATACCAGCAGCCCCATGCCAGGGGCCTGCAGCATCACTGTAAAGAAGCAAGTTCGATCTAGGGGTGGTGGCACAGAGCTGGGAGCATACTACTCAGACAGAGAGGAAGAGTGTGAATTGGAGGCGATCCTGAGAAATTTAGTGAGACTGTGGA